TAAGTCCACTATCTCCTCCTCCCCCTCTCACTACCTGACTTCTCAGTATCTGCAGACTACGAGAGAGAGAGAGAGAGATTGGTGACTTTGGGACTTGACGACATTTGGGTCCAGACTCGACACTGGGATTCAGAGATTTGACGAGGGATTATTTGGGACCTGTACCGAAGACGTGGTGTTGACGACATTCCCATCTTTCCCTCTTCTTCGTCTAACCCCCCTCTTCTTCGTATGTGTATGGTTGGGGACTGTGCATTCTGCCTGTGTGAGCGCCAGGCCCCTTCACAGCATGGAATGATGATGATTTATGTCTGGTCTGCATGGCAACATTGATTGTTCGGATCATTGGTATTTAAGCCTTCCGCTGTGCTATCTTGTATTATGTGAGAGAGGTCGGTTCTTGTTCTGGTCTGCACCTTTACGGTATGCGACAGCATGTGTGTAAAAGTGTTTGGATGTTGAGCATTGAGAGATTGGTCTGTTGCCTCAATAAGAGGAGGAAAGAAGAAAATACAAACTTCGTTTGTTCACTGTGCTATATTTGTTGTTGCTTTGATCCACATTTTTCTTCAATTCTCCTCTGTTGCATGTTCTTATTACTAAACCTTTTTCAAGGCTTTTGCTTTTCTCCCCGCAGGTAGCTGTTTTGTTTGCTTCTTGAACTTACCTCGAGTGCCTCATTTTGTCTGTTGGTTGACTGTATGTTCTAACCACCAGCTGTTCTTCCTCTGTTCTGCTGTTACTTCTTTTGTCCCCTCTGCTTTTTATCACTTTGAATGGCTCGTTATAGACTCTGGGCTGAGGTACTCTCGTTATGCTGCTGCTGCTGCTTCAGTCGCCTCCATTCATTCACTTTCCTTTCTTCATGCGTTTGTGCACTACGTGTTTTCATTTTCATTAATGCACTCCTTGGACTGTGCTGATGATGATCTTTTTTTTTTTTTTTTTTTTTTTTTAAACGTCTGAAGCTTTCTATTTCAAGCGCTTAGGATATTCCCGAGCTTGTTGATTCTCCCCGTCATGTTAGTTTTGTATCTCTGAAAATGTCTGAATGATCCTGTGTCCCAGGCTGTCGGTCCGTTTCCAGCCCGGTTTCAAGATTGCATCTCGTCATTCCTTTGCTTCTAGCTGGTGCTCTGCTCCTGTGGACTGCTTGCACATGCGAATAAGCAAGCCCCCCCTTGCTTTTGCCTTGCCTTGCTGTCCCAATGCGCGGTTGTGATACCCTATCACATTGCCTCTGCCGTCCGCTCTGCATGCCATGTCTGCAGTCGGTAGCAAGATGCATCAACGAAGTGGGTGTAGGGTTTATGTTTGCCCCCAGGTTTCATCCAGCAATGAGAGTTGTTGCGCCGGTGCGGAAGGCCCTGAAAGTTCGGACAGTTTTTAATATTCTGGTAAGATGTCTCCTCCTCCTTGCCTTGCCCCTCCTCCTGCTCCTCCTCCTCCTCCTCAGCTGTTTCCCGGTAGCTGAAAAGGCTATGAGCACATCCTTCTACTTGAGAAACGAACTCAGACTTCTTTTTGTATAAGAGGGATGACCACTACACTATTGTAGCCAAAAGTATTTGAACCATGGTAACCCTCACCCGGACATCACCGGACCTGGACAGTCCGGACCGGTACCAGGGGTGCACAAATGTCCGGACCAAAAAAAA